CCCGGATCAGTTGATCGAAGGGCTTGGATCAGTTGACTGATTCGACTGTAAGAAACAAGCCTGAAAATCGCTCTGGTAAGTCGATTGATGGGAACTCATCAGTCGACCGACAACATGAACGAAGCAGCTGAGAAGCCCTTATCAGTCGATCGATGCAAGCGCATCAGTCGATCGATAGCGGGTCAAACTTGTTTCCTGATTCGTTTGGGAGTTCGGATTTCATATATATTAAGGTCGTTTTGGCTATTGTTTAGAGTGTCTTTGAGAGATATTCTTGAACACTTTGAGAGAGATCTCAGAGAGAGATCAGAGAGAGAGAGAGAGTAGCCTTTTGCAAGCTTGTAATCTTTTTCAATAATCAAAGAAATTCTGGTGACTCTCGAGGACGTAGGCACGATTGCCGTACCTCGTTAAATCTTGTGTTCTCTCCTTTTATTTGTTCTTTCCTGCAAAATTTTCGTTTTGCTGTGATTTCTTGCTTGCTAATTGTTCGTCACAAGATCCGGATGGCGCGAGTTGTCAATAGATTAACCCCAACAACTAGTATCAGAGCTTCGTTCGGTAAAGTTCTGTGTGAGAGCTATGACAGAAGAAAGCAAATCGAAGATTGAGAAGTTTGACGGATCAAATTTCGCTTACTGGAAGTCACAGATGGAGGACTATCTGTACCAGAAGGATCTTTACCATCCGTTGATGAGAAAAACAAAGGGAAAGGAGGAGACAAACGAGGACTGAGAAATATTAGATCGGAAGGCTCTAGGACAGATTCGGTTGCTACTCGCTAAATCAGTCTCCCACAACATATTGAAGGAGAAGACGACGATGTGACTTATGGAAGCGCTCGCAAAGATGTACGAGCAATCGTTAGCTGCAAATAAGGTGCATCTCGTCAAGACGCTCTTTAATCTCAAGATGATAGAAGGATACTCTTTCACGTCGTATCTCAGCGAGTTCAATACGATTGTTGATCAACTCATCTCATTCGACATCATGTTTGATGATGAAGTGTAAGCCCTATTGATACTATCGTAGTTACCGGATAGCTAGGCAGATTGTGTGATCATAATTAGCAACTCGACAGGAAATGAGAAGTTAAAGCTGAGCGATGTTGTTAGTATGATTCTATCCGAGGAGGTTAGAAGAAAGTCGGCCGAATCAGAGGGTTCAGGTTCAGCCTTAAATTTCGAGCAGAGAGGCCGAAGCCAGAATAAGAGCAATCAGAACAGGAAGAGGTCGAAGTCGAAGAGGAAAAGGTCGAACTCGAATGTGAGGCCTATCAAAAGGAAGTGTTAAAACTGCGGTCAACAGGGCCACATGTTTTTAGTCTGCAAAGCGTCAAAGAAGGATACAAATAAGCAGGAGGCTCATATTGTGCAAGATGTATTGATCATTGCTATGGATAATAACACTGATTCATATGTTATTGATTCAGGAGCCTTATTTCACGCCACTGTTGATAGGAAGCTTCTTCAGAACTATGTAGCATGAGACTTTGAAAAAGTGTACTTGGTGGATAACGAGTCTTGTAATATTGTGAAAAGAGGCGATGTGCAGATTCAGATGAAGCGTTCTAAGTGGTCTTTGAAGAATGTCAGACATGTATCGAAGCTGAAAGGAATTTTGTTTCAGTTGGTCAGCTTTGAGCGGAAGGCTATGTTTTAACATTTACCGGGGATTCGTGAAAGATCTCTAACGATACTATGATGGTTGCCTGCGGTAATAAATTCGAAACTCTCTATTTAACTTCACATGTGAGTGACACCCTCATAATTTCAGATGGTAAGGAAAGTGCAGATTTGTGGCACAATAGGTTGAGGCATATGAGTCAAAAAGGTATGAAGATTCTGCACTTACAGGGAAAGCTATCCGGCATTGATTCAGTGAAAGTTGGTATATGTGAACATTGTATCTACGGGAAGCAGAAGATGGTCAGCTTTCAGAAGAATGGAAGATCAACTAAAACTCTAGAGCTTGTTCATACAGATGTATGAGGTCCAGTTGGCGTGTCTTCTCTTGGCGGTTTAGTGTACTATGTCATATTTATCGACGATTACTCAAGGAAGGTGTGGGTATACTTCATGAAGCACAAGTCAGGGGTGTTTGGATCTTTAAGAATTAGAAAGCCATGGTAGAGAACGAGACAGATCTGAAAGTGAAGTGTCTAAGATCGGACAATGATGAAGAGTATGAGTTGGAGAAGTTCAAGAAGTTCTGTGGTTTGAATGGATAGAAATGACTACTCCAGGAACATCGCAACAGAATGACGTTGCAGAGAGGATGAACAGAACGTTGACAAAGCGTGCGGGGAGCATGCGTCTACATGCAAGTCTACCTAAGATGTTTTAGACAGACGTGATGCGTACAACAGCTTACTTAAGAAATCATTGGCCTTCAGTTCCATTAGACTTTGGGATTTTAGAAAAGGTTTGGAGTGGCAAGAAAGTAAATCTCTCACAGTTGAGAGTCTTTGGTTGTGTGGCATATGTTCATATTAGTGATCATGTCAGGGACAAGCTAGAAGCTAAGTCACAGAAGTATACATTCATTGAATATGACATTGATGAGTTCGGATATCGTATGTGGGATGATAAGAATAGGAAAATCATCAGGATTTGAGATGTCATATTTAATGAAGAGGTGATGTACAATGATATAGACAATGACAAGGATAACCAAAACAGTGAGAGTAGCACTAAGGATGCAGTTACATTCGAGTATATGAATTTAGAGGAACTTCCAGATGGAGACAATGTCAGTTCTGACCAAAGAACGGAGGAGACTTCAGGTGCAGAGATTGATACCTAAGGCAAGGAGCTTAGGTAGTCATCCAGAGTACTAAAACCGAATCCCAGATATCTTTCGTCGCTATATTACTTGCTTTTGACAGATGGTAGAGAACCGG